AGAAAATTAAGCCTTGGTAAGCTGATAAATTCAGGAATGGAGGGCACGTTTTGAGTCAAAGAAGTTAAATTAAAGCTTTATTGTGGGGGGGGGGTCAGGTTGTCTTTATTTTTTAAAATGCATAGTAACTGCAATGCCTTGATTTGTACTGCTCACATGGCTGTGACTCTGGTTTAGATTGTTCTATGCAGTCCACTTGCGGTCTGGAATGTGACCCAAAGAATGTTAAGGTTGTTTTAATGGCTCTGGAGGGCTTCATGAATGGGCCAGAGGTGGGAGGGAACTGAGGAAATGCCAAGGATGAGAGAAAATAGTATGGCAGCTTGGAAACTTGGAGATGCAGGGAGGGGAAGAAAGAAGCAGAAATTGCTTACACTTCAGAGCTATTTAGCACCCAGGAGACATTGCTTTTCCACAATTAGCAGGGCGTGTAATTAAAACAGGCTGCACACCATGCTTAATATTAACTAGCAATGCCCTTCCCCGTGGCCAAGCTCTTTCTGTCTAACGTAATATATCTGCCTCACTGCCAAGAAGTATGTTCAAGTTAGCATTTGGCCAGGGAAATGTTGAGGTGGTTCTCAACACCATCAGGTGCTGGTTGGGGGAGGCCACAAAACTAAGGCCTAGCTGAATGAATGAATGAATGAATGAATGAATGAATGAATGAATGAATGAATGAATGACAAGCCTATAGAGCATAAGCATCTGGTACAGTGTGATGATGAAGAAATGGCCAAATATGACAAGAGAAAGCCCTTCCTGACCAATAATGTTGGGCCAGGTTTCAGATCTGACATACGCTTATTGTTGTTGGCTACCTTATATACCTTATTATCCAAAATACTACTCTTCCTTTTTTTTCTACTCAGGATGAAACCTCACATTTTGAGAACAGTTTTATATTTGCAAACTTAACCCTCCCATATTTGCAAAATGGCCAAAAAGGTCACAAACCACTACAGTCCTAGGAGGATCCCCTGTAGTGATATGATCCCCTGGACCCAGGGACCACATCTCCTGCCAGCAAAGGTTTATGAATAGGAGGCTACAATCAGCCAAAGATTGGCCTGGCTCTGCTTGTTACATACAAATGAGATCAGGTTGCCTTGCTCTCTTGCTTTGTATATTCTCTAAACAGTATTGAGCTGTATAAACAGCTATCGCTCCTTCACTCTGAAAGGATTTGCACGCCATGTACAATAGGAATTACTATTTCTACATACTAAACTCTTACATTTTATGCACCTGTATTCTACAAGAATTACACCTGCTGCTACAGTGATATCTACTTATTAGCTGTACATTCAAAACATATCTAATAAATAGATCGCTGCACTCCATTCCTAAGGAAATTACAAATAGCAAAAATCCTTTTAAATAATGATTATAAATTCAATCCATCTTCGACTTTTCTTTTTTATACTTTATTTTAAATACACTTATGCGCGTAGGCAAATACAATACAGCAGAGTAAAACGGCTTGATAGCTATACCTACTCTCTAACATGTGGACAAGCATACTATTTCTAATCGTTATAGCAGAGAAATACTGAAAGATGGAGATTGAGGAAATTATAATTTTGATTATGAATCTAAAATGGATAAAAAGCCTCCAGCTAATCAAGAACATAAAAACAGGTACAGCAGAAATTAAACTGAAGATCAATTATTATTCAATTACTGCAGAACCATATGCAGTTCAGGGGGTAAAAAGTCTCTAAATGGTCATAAAACCATCATAGCCATTGGTCACAAAACCCAACGTGGCAGGCATCATATTTAGGACTTTTCTTGATCTGTTTGACTAAGGTATGGGTAGGATTAGCGTTGACTTGGCCCTTCATTGCCCTTAGTTCCCTGGTAAGAATTAAAATTACTAAAAAAAAAGATAATAAATATTTTTACTTTCTTTCCCTTCCATTGGTACATGTATCTCTGCAAGAGGAAAACTGTTTCCTGTCCAGCCAATTTCCCCCTGGCTGGAGGATTTTCTTTAGTGGCCAAATAATTTTCAAAGAGAATTCTCTTTAGGTTGGTGGTGGGGGCGGACGCTGCATAAAATAGACCAGAGCTTGAATAAAGGCAATCGATGGCATTTTGTATTGGCTGGTGAATTGCAATCTAATCTGATTTATCTAGCATCAACATAGGGAATTCAAATTTAAGATTTAAATTTTTTTTTTCTTGGACATGGGCAAGTCCACACTATGTTTAAACTGATTACTGAATTATTGTTAGCTGCTCATTGCTTTAGGGTTTTCTTGGAATTTTAAAATTTCCTTTTATAGTTATTGTATCGTATGCTGGTCTTTTATTGTGTACAGTCTTGGACCATAAATAAAGTTTGAATTGATGATGAATTACTTTGATTGCCCGATATCCAAAACCGTTTTGTAACCAAAGGGTGTGGATTCATACACCAAACCATCCTCGCAAAAACAAAACCCAAACCAAGGCTAAAACTCAGCTTAGTCGTGTGTGCAAATGTAGCTAGTGTGTTGTGCAAAGTTATTTACTGGAAAAGTTTATGAAGCCACGTTATGGGTTTTGAGGATGGTAAATGATGCTGGATTTTTTTAAAGGCATTGTTTTGTAGCTTCATTTTCCTGACTCACAAGTATACTTTGAGCAGTTGCCACCAGATGGTGCCAGAAAACTGCAAGATCCAAGTACCTCAAAGTTTACCAATGTTGGTTAAGATATGGTGGTGGGTTCTTTTGGGGGGGGGGTGCCTTCGAGTCAGTTTTTGACTCCTGGCAACTACCTGGACAAGTCTCTGCAGTTTTCTTGGCAACTTTCAGAAGTGGCTTGCCATTGCCTCCCTCCCGGGACTGAGAGAGAGTGACTGGCCCAAGGTCTCCCAGCTGGCTTCATGCCTAAAGTGGGACTAGAACTCAGGGTCTCCTGGTTCCTAGCCTGGTACCTTAACACTGGCTCTCTAAGATCCATTTACCAATGTTGATTTTAACCTTGGAGTCATTTGTATTGTATGATATAATGCCTTTTGCTCTCTCTGCCTAAATTACATCACAGGGTTGTCGTAAGGATATAGGAGGGTAGACCCATGATGAGATGCCCTCATCAAATTAGCTGTAAGAATAGTTCTCATATAGTCTATGAAAAGCATGATAGCAAATCTGACCCTTACAAAAATCAGGGACAGACGGAAGGCGACCCTCTCTTGCTAAATAGGGGAATAGACAGCCTATCACACAGGGTAGGTAAGAGAAAGAGGGCCAAAATACTAGTTCTGGAAATAGGGTTTGCTCCTGAAACAGTGCAGTCACTAGAATTCTTTCATGATGGCTACCTAACTTTTCTTCAACTAAGAATTACTTATCAGTTTTTGGTTCCAGTCCTGTCTCTTGGATGAATCCTAATTTTAGCAGAAAGTAGAACTCACAGTAGAAATAACATTCTTTTCCTATCTAAAAAATAATAAATTGTACTGAAATAAATGCCAACTCTACAGAGTCAGTGAAGATACTTTATACTGAGCCATATTATGGGTCTGCTTGGGTCAGAACTAACTACACTATGCTACTACAAAAGGCCGAGAAGCAACCAAACTCTTCTAGCTGGCAGCCCCATCCTGAATTTTATTTTTGTGAATGGGTCTCACCCCCCACTTTATAACGCTCACGATCCTCTGAAGCAGCATAGGCTAGGAATTCATGGAAGGCCAAGAATTGGTGCTTATTCTTATCCTCTTTATTGCTAGAGGGCAGGGATTCTCTCTTTTTATTCCTTGGTATGTGGCAGTAAGGCAGAGCAATTAAATAAATGAGCTCATTTTAATTGTCAGTGATGGTGGGGTGAAGTCAAAGAGCTTCTCTATCAGGAAAAGCCTGTCCTGTCATTGTTCCACTCCTTCCACTGAAAACTTGCATCTCTCCATCCCCTACTTAGAAGCCATCCAGATGTTGTATTCACACATCTCCATCACTCTTATCACAGGAATGACACTGGCGAGCCAGAGCAGGTGAAATTCAATCATCTTTATTTATGAACAAACCCTAATTGATTGTGATGGCAGCTGGTGCCTAGGACCAGCCCCAGAGGGAGGGGATCTGAGCAGAGGGGAGGGCACAGTATTCTCCAAAGAGCCAAAATGGCCTGGCAAGGTAATATTGGATCCAGGAAGGGAAAACATGGAGGAGGGCAATGGGGTGATGGCATTGCTGTGACGGTTGGTCTGCACCAATTCAAAAGCCCAGCTCAGCCACCAAGGCCCAACAAAGGGCACTGTGACAACACACATCTCCAGGACAGAGGCAGAAGTCCCCTCCTCCATCTGACGTCTATTCCAAGGCGTCTCTCCTTTGCAGAGATCTTCAATATGTGCATTGCCAGCCTGGAAGGAAACCTTGGTAGAGAATGAGATGAACGATACCTGTGCTAGCAACGGCTTTCAGGTGGCACCATCCGTATCTCCACCTGCACCAGAGAGTTCACTCAGCAACAGAGTTAGGACAGTGTTCGCATCTTAGCATTCCCTCCATGGCTTCAGAACAATTAGGCAGTTGTCTTCCACCCAGTCTCCACTCAACCCATGGCTGGCTGGGGCCACTGAGAAGTCCAGATCCATCTTGACTCGTAGGAGAGAAAGGTGGAGTCCTCTCCTCAGACCCATCGAAAGTGCTGGTTGCGAAGTAACCGAAAGAACTCGAAGCGGAAGAAATGTGCAAAAGATCAGAAAGCGTAAGTGCTCATAAAGGAAAGAGGCTTCTGGCCGGCCCGGGGGGCTGCCGCAGAAGAGGACCCCAAGCTTTGCATTACGTGAGCAAGCCGCCATGCCGCGTTCTCATCATGCTAACGGCAGGGGCAATTCCCACTCCGGAAGGTGAAAACCTGGGTCTAAAAGAGCGAGGTCCCCTGCGGGGAGAAACCCACCCTTCCCCGTAACAATATGCATGTCTCTCTCTGAGTGGCTGGCTTGAATGCAGAGCTCTGGTATTAAAAATAGCATGCTTTCATTAAGGAAAAGGGCCGTGCAGTGGGGGGAGGGGCTGCTTGGTTCCAGCTCACTTCTTCTCGGGGCTGCTGATGGCTCTGCTGAGTCACTTTGCCTCTTCTCCACTCCTTGTCAAAGCCTCATCCCTGGAACATTGTGAATAACACAGCATTAGATCACCCTGATGACATAAAGAGGACCTAAGATTAAACCTGAAGCCTCTTTGGCACCTGGGAGCGGGTAGTTCTGCAAGACCCGTGCCAGGGGATGTTATTAGTAGACCATTGCTAAGGGTCTTGGGTCACCAGGGACCGGCTGCTAAAATCTGCAGGGGAGTGACATCACAAGGGTCATGATATCCTCCTGTAAATGACGTGAAAAGGGTTGCTGACATGGTGTCATTGACACTGGGACCTCATGGTACACATGACATCATTGTGGCCTGTCCTAGCCTAATGGTATCTTCCCTTTCCTGTTGCAATTTCCTCTTCTGGAGAAAGAGGAGAAAGGCAATCAGTTCTACCCACCTCACCTTCCTGCTGTTCAACCAGGAGAACCCAACTTGTGCACCCTGAAAGCCCCAAGGGTGATTCCCAACACCTTTGAAATGTCACCTCCAGGTGGTTATGTTCAATGTGACAGCAGGGGAGACTTACTCAGAACGATTAACATTGTAGGAGGACAGCTGAGTTAGCTGATGCCTTCGCATAGAATCTGCTCGTTGAAAAAGGTGCTACCAGACCCCCTCCTGTTTTTCAGAATGATTAAGTTCGTGTATTTGAATGAAATTTAAGTGTATTACATCAAAGCAGATTTAGTTGGAGTTTTCTCCTGCTGTTTAATTCTGATGGGGAGAACAGTAAGAAAATTGGGATCCATTTTCTTTTTCAGAAGTCAGCCAAAATCTTCTCCAACAATATCAACTGATGGAAAGATGGGATGTAAATACAAAGATGGGAGTGGCATTTCCCTGCTCCCAGACTAAATTTGGATTGCAAACAACTTGAGGCAGAAACATCTCTGGCTTTTATTACCCTCTGCAAAGCACCAGGCACCACTGATGATGATGATGTTGTTGTTATTATTATTATTATTACATAATATTAATAGATACTACATATGTATTATAATGATATTTGGACAAGTCTTAGGCTTTTGGATAAATCTTGAATTGATCCTAAACTACCAGCATTTCCTGAGCATTCTTCAGAAGAGAATACATAACAACAAAAATCATAAATCGATAGTCATACCAATTGTTGTTGGAGCTCTTGATGTAATACCAGAAGATTTACCAAATGTTTAGAAATGTTAATCTTCCTGGAGTTGAAATCCCCTATTTTGCAAAAGAACATCATACATTTTGTGGTGATACCTCCATGACTCCATGACTGTTATCTCATACTTATCTCATACTCTCCATGAATCACTGGAATCAACAGCCAATCAATTAGACTATGAAATTCATTTGGATGAGGATGATGATAACAATAATACCTTATAAAAATCAGGAATCCCAGTGCCCGCCAATGGCCTGGCATGGGCTATTCAGCTACCTGCACCCCTGTGCAGTTTTCTTTACTCTCCGACGTGATGGCCAAGTATTCAGAGCTGTTAGGACACAGAAAGACACGGGCATGCTTTGGAAATGGGGTTTAGCTCACCTTTCCCCATCCCTCCCTCACAAAGCACCCTTAGCTCGAGTTTCACCACGACCAAAGGCTGAGCCAGCCTTCAGGATCTTTTCAAAAGAATCCTGGTGTGTTTTGATGTCCCAGTAAGATCAAGTGTCTAGATCTGGAGGCCCAGAATACCCCTCCCTGTGATGAGGGAGATAAAACTAGTGACAAGCCAGTTTGTTGCATGATGTCATGGTAGAAGAGTGAAAAGAGGGTGAATCAAAAATGTAAGCAGCAGAATATGCCTTAGACAAGGATGGGCTACAGTTGCAGGACTAGGGACATGTTGATTTATGGGAAGCTGAGGACCATGACAGACAGGGCGAGGATGCAAAATGTGTAGGGCATATGATCAACCCAGGATTCATGGCCCAGCAAGTCTCCAGGAGTTGAGCTTGACTCAATTCCCTCTAGAAGCTTCTAAGACCCTTTAGGCCTGCCAAAGTTCCCAGAATTTCGTTGTGCACATGCAGAAGCTTCTTGATGACCAAACAATTTTAAGTGAAGGTGAAACCCAGGGATTTGCAAATGGTTGTTTGCAATCACAAGCCATCGGAGGAAAGGTTTTGATCTTGAAAGGTGAATCAATGAGATGAGCATGATGATGATGATGATGATGATGATGATGGAGAAATGCAAATCAATCAATCAATCAATCAATCAATCAATCAATCAATCCTGGCAATGTCACCAATTTACCAAAAAAAAAAACCAACCACCACCACCTCTCCTACTGGACAAGCTCTTTCCCTCCTTTTCCAGTCACACATGCTCCAGTGATTTTCCTTTCCTACTGTATATCCCGGCCCACCACCCCATCTCAGCCCTACCCAATGCAGAGCCCCAGTATAGAGGGCATAGGGAATGGCCTTGAAGAACAGGAGGAAGAGCCACTACCAAGACAATGGTCAGGTTAAGAGGGGCTTGAGCCCGGGCCAAGAAACTAGTTCGAGTAAACATCTCAGACAGGCCCCTCCCTAGTTCACACAAAGTTAAAGGGAGGGAGGGGGAAGCACATACAGACTTGCAAGATTCTGTTACTCTAGTTGTTACAAGAGAAGTAGTTCTGACCTATATGACATCAGTTTCTTGGTCTGGTCTACCTTATTGGGCTGACACCTAGAGCCTTGGAAGCTACCAGGTGTAATGTTTGATGTCAACATCAGTTTGGACCTTTCTTTCGCTGTAATGTCTGGTTTCTGTATAAGCTGCTTATCAGGACCCATAATACACAATTGGCAGCATCATCCTAGAGCATTATGGGTTATTAAATGGCACTGGGTAGCTCATAGCCGCTCAGCATAGATAGAAGGGTCATTGTGCTTACCATATAATTTGGCCCCTAGAGAGGCATTCAAACTTGGAACCCCCATGTTGCCCCCCTTGCTTCTTTTGCTGCCCTGACCCACTTTCCTTACGCATTCTCTTGAGCAGCTGCCTCTGTCGCTGCAGCGATCTTCTTGTAGCAATAGATCATCTCAGCTACCAGCCAGATGGTCAGGACAACAATGAGAACGTACATCATGATTTCGGAGACAATAGATGCCGTATCCCGATTGGCTATGAATGAAAGGGAAGACAGGGATAGGGCTATGTGAAGTACAGACTGACATCCATGTTTAGCTAAATTTGATTGCCCTGGGCAATGAATTTTGAGGTTTTGGGAATCTGTGGCTCATGGACCGTATGCAAACAATGACCTAGGTTCATCTGGAAGTGAACCCACCTACTACTGGGCTCTTTGGCAGATACCTAAAACTGAATGTGATTCCTTCCAGTCACTATTCTCAGAGTTTTCTTTAACCAGATTTATTGCAATGAACAGAATGGAGTTACAAAAATTCCAGCATTTGAATTATTTCCTCTAAGGCACAGACTTTGTTTTTCTTTCTAACAGCTTTCTATGATCCAGCAAGGAGCTGGATTTTCTCACTGACAATGGAGAAGTTTGCAGCTGACTGCCTATGTAACAATCTCCTGAAATTTTATCAGTCTAAGAACAAAGTATTATACCTACTCTCTGTGGCTCTACCTATTTTGATTCTGGCCACATCCATCCTTACTTCTGGTTATGCTCAGTTGGAATGCAGATAAGAACCCACCCCTTGCTTCTGACTTCACTCACATTGGACTTATTTGTGCCTGTTGTTGGAATGTGGGCTTTGGTAAGTTCTGAACTGGCCAGATTGGACACTGTGGGAAACAAGATGGTTAAGAAGATGCTCTGATCCATGAGGAATCTGATGTTTATGCTCTCCAATGGCCTACAACATGCTAAGGTACCCTTGCATGCTCCACAGTCCCTGAGCTCCAGCTTCATGCTTACCTTTTTCAACCACATCAATGTGGATTGTTTTGTTGATCAAGATGTTGTGGGAGAACTCATTGGCATAATGGAGTGTGCGGTTGATGCTGCAGATGTACTCCCCTGCGTGTTCTGAAGTCACATTCAGGATGAAAATGGAGACATCCTGCAAGTCTGCAATGTTCTTGGTGCCATTCCACATCACTAGATTTTCAAAGCGAGGATCATACACACTGAGTTTATCATAGGGATCATACTGAAGGATCTGGAGAGAAGATGAAGAGGACCCAATCAGAACCAGGAGAAACAGTATCGCACACAGAAAAAATACAGCCATTCAGTAATAATAGTTTGATGATGATGATGATAAGTAGCATATTGTGAGTGAAGGTGAAGCAGCCATCTCTGGCGGTAGATTGGAGAAGACAATTTTGGGCAAACTAGGAGACAGTTTAAAAGGTACACAAGTTACAACGTTCTTCTAGAGATCCACTTGGTGTCCTCTGTTAACTGGAAGAAAAAGACAGGGCTGGCCCTACTGTTAGGCAAAGTAAAATAATGGCCTCAGGCAGCAAATGCTGCAGTGGGAAGGCACAGGCAGGACAACTCTCCAGCTGTTCCTTCTGAGTCCCAGGACGTTCCCCTCCTTCAATTTGTCTTAAATCTTCTAGACTACCTTGCTGCCTTCAGGTGCAGTAGAAGACTGTATCCAAGAGCTATTTTCAATGGCCATTGCAGTTAGTTTGGATGTGGAATGAAAGGGGTCATCCTTTTGTTCTGGCACCATAAAGCAAAATATTTATTTATTTATTTATTTAGTCACCGCCCATCTCACTCAAAGAGATCTCTCTGGCAAGCCCTCGAAAGAGGAGAGATCCATTCTAGGAGCCTGCGATTAGCAATTCCCCCATATCTGACTTCATCTGATATGTGGGGTCTCATGGTGGGTTATACCTGATCTTAGGCAGGCTGCACCAATGGCACCCCATTTACTGTAAAAGTAAAGCAGGACTCCTGGTGACTACATGGTTGTATCCATGTAATTTTCCTGCCAACAACGCAAAAGTGGTTTGCCATTCTCTTCTTCCATAATGTTTTTTTTCAATCTTTCCACTCTAGTGTATAGCCATTCTAATTTATATCCTGGTGGTCTCCCATCTGAGATTAACCAGATCAAACCCTTCATGTCTTCTAAGTGCCCCTGTTGCTTTCTTTTGGTTACTGCTTGCCTAATACAAGAAAGCACACATGCAAAAGGAGGATCAGAGCACCTGCATTTCTAATAACTACACAGAAAGAATCATTTTTCCCATCTCTCCATAGGAAGCAGCAGTGAGGTCACTCTCTGGTCTGGGCCATTGTTAAAATGGCAGTAGTCTATTCCGCCTTGTCCCCTCTTGACAAAAGCAGAAAAAAGATGCTGGGAGAATATAATTAACATTGCAATCCTGCACGTGTAAAGTGACAAAGTCCCACTAAATGTAGCAGGTGTTTGCCTCCAGGGAAGTGGCAATCAAACGGCAGGTTTGCCAGGGGTGAGATTAAAGAGTTGCAGATGGAACCAAGACTGTTCCTCTAGAACAGGGGGGAAAAATCTGTTTTCTGTCAAGAGATGGGCCGAGATGGAACCAGAGCCGAAAGAAGCCGAGTCACCCCGTCTTTCCCTTTCTGCAAATAAGTAATGAAAGGCCAAACTAATGAGAGAGTTGGGAATTGCAAGTGCCAAAGAAGGAATGCTGACCAGAGGCAAATGGGATCACTTCTGTGCAACTGATCTGCATCTTTCTGCCCTCGCTGGATCCCTAACCCAAATAAGGACAGTTCGGTTTGCTTTTTTCTCATCGGAGGACCTGCACGTACAGATGCTGCTAGAGTGGTTAATCCTAGATGCAGGTTGCAAAAATAGCCCCTGGAACAAAGTCACTGGCACACAAGGGTACCCTCCAAATCACAACTGTCCATAAGGCTATTTGGAAAGAACAAAAGTCACCATTAATAACTGGGCATTGGAAGAGGAGGTGTGTACTGCCACACGTAGGAAATTAGCGTGTCTCGTATTCACAGTGTAAGCTCTTAAAAAAGGGGACCGCCTAGGCCTGTGAGAGCTTCAGTGAATAATCAATTTATTGGCTAAATCAGGGACAGGCAACCTGCAGCTCTTAAGGCGGAAGGCAGCTTTTGGCCTGATTTCAAAAGCCCTCTGCAAGGGATCGGTCCAGACCTCTGGTGATCTGCTCCTTATCCAACAGCCTCCTAGATACAGAGGGAGAAAGAAAGCAGGCAGGAGGAAGGGGTGGCAGAAGAAAGACCACGGGTCCTGCAGCTAGTATCTTCTTTGTTATTTTGCTTTGCACGTTTTGCTAAAAAGTACAACGAAACCTGGATGAACCATCCACAATTCATGGGTCGTGGCACCCACCCATGCCCTAATGACATAGATGGGTGGATATTTTTGTCTTGTTCTCCTTTCCCTACCTCAAATTGGTTGTAAAGAACTCTTTATTTGACATGCACACACATATGAATGCATTTACTATTTTGGAGGCAACACAGTTGATCTTTGAATAAATCTAGATTTTTTTTTCAGCCGAGGAGCACGCAGCTGGTGCTCTTCCAAAATATTCCTTCTGTGCCCCAGCACACACCTTGACCAGGTCGGTTGTCCCCTCCTGCCTGAAGAACCACTGAGTGAAGGCTTCTGCCTCTGTTTCACTGCGCTTCTTGCATGAGATGCAACGGATCTTGAAAGACTGGCCAACCACAGCCTCTGTATCTGCCTCTACCTCCACGCAGCCAGCTTGGCACAAGGTCACTGAAAGAGGGGAAATCAGAAAAATTATACTCAGGTGGCATCAAAACTCCTGACCTGTCTTCAGCTTTTATATCCTCTTTTTTTGTATATTTTAAAACATTTAAGGAACAAAATAAATGACTACGTAAAAGAAAAAAAGGTTAAAAAGTACAAAGCAGATGGAAAATAAGTATTGGTAAAGAAGCACGGGATGTACAATTGCCATAAAGTTTAAAATGTGTTACGTCATTGATTAAATAATTAACTGAGTAGATAAAATTAGGCTCATTATATCATCTTAGGAAATAATCGAAAATCACTACAGAACTCTAAACATTAATACTTATATTGATATCAGAGTTATTTGTCATCATTCCTATAATGAATGCCCATGATCTTGTAAACAAAAAGAGAGAAAAAGAAAAAATAAAGAAAAGTGAAATATAAAAGTGAAATTTTAAAAAAATCAGTTAAAACAGTATTGAGTTTTAAATTCCCTCCCGTTGTACCCAACTGATTGCATCGAAGTAATTATGAACATGCTGGTTTCCCTTCAGATGGTGTAAATCATCTGATGGTGAAAACCCATACCTTTCCTGGCTCAGGTGGGTATCATTTTTTTTTATTTCCAAGCAGAGATCCTTTCTGCACAGGGGAGGGTGGGATCCACATGGAGCATGACAATCTCAGAATATCCCCCTGCATCTTCTTAATACTATCACCCTATCAGCCCTCTGTGGTAGACCAGACTAGGAAACCAGAGTCATTTAGACTGATGCTACTTTTACTGTAAAGTTACAATAACAGAATCTTGCAAGTCTGAATGCGCTTCCCCCTCCCTTCTTTTATCTTTGTGTGAATCAGGGAGGGGC